GTGACATTCTGTCCAGTCGAATTCTATAATTTCGGTTGAACTATCGTCGACCAATTGTAGATATTCCTAAGATCCACGTCCACGACAAACCAGGAGGTATAGTTTTTGTAGTGCTATTATTCTTAGGTTAACTAAAATAATACATCATTTGTACATAATGTTTATGTATACGTGGCCACAGAATAGCTTGCAATCATTTTATTGTCACTCACTATATACATAGTCGATAAATTATCAATTATTATTCAATCAGTATAAATAGAAGTGTCAACATTTCCCAGTTTTTTGAACCGTTACTACTATATTTGTTACTGTTAAAGAAATTACAAGAAATCTAAATTTCCACAAATGAACACCATCTGTAAGATTCATAGTTAAATTAATTTTAATTGTAACCAGAACTCGTTAGTTAATTAAAACTGAAACTCTCCACCTCCGAGTCAAGGTCAGGTAATTTTCTATTTTGATATGAGTGGTATCAGTAATAACCGTGTATCATCAATTAAAATAATAAATGGATAAACCATAATCAAATTCCAAACAGAAGTTCAACCAGAAAATAATCACGATGACGATGACGCGATATTAAATATTAAACGGACTAACGTAAAATCTCCGATACGAGAAGAACGTGCTTATTCTGAAAACTCAAATATTTTATCGAAAGGCAAAACAAGAAAAAGTAATAACAATTTTCGGTTTGTAACTGAAAATCGTTTCACTCTTTCCCAAATAGATTACAACCATAACGAAACGAAAACAAATTATATACATGAAGCCACTGGCAAAGCGCAAATAACACCACCAATATGTATTATATTCATGATTAAAGATTTCAACTTATTTATTGAGAACATAAAAATGATCATTGAACAAAATTTCGAATTTCCGTGCAAAAGTACAACCAACAACATTATAATAAACACTTTCACGAAAAACTCCTACAGAGCCATAAATCATAATTACATTTTGTAAGGAGAAAAAATAAATTTCTACACTTATCAAACTCAAAAGGAAAACCCTTATCGGTTAGTGATTCAAAACTTACACTCAACTATATCGATGGAATACGTAAAAGAAGAATTAAGGGAAATTTGATTTTCATGTCGAAATACCCCAAACGCATTACACACACTAACCAAAGCAGCACACTATTTTTTGTCGATTAAGAACAAAATCCAATCAACATAAAGAAAATATTTTCTCGCTTAAATTACTATACCAAATCCAAGATTGATGTTGAAACTCCGAAAATTCGTAAACAAACTCTCCAGTGCATTTAACTGTCAGAATTATGGCCATATACTTTCCTATACCGTGATATAGTAAAATCTGCTGAGTTAAGCTCAGTAAGAATCATAGTTGAGAATATTAAAACAAAAATTCTGAACTACCAGCCAAATATGCCAACTGTTGGTGGAAATTACCAAACCACCAGCTACTCAGGATGTACAATTTTTTAAAAGTACAATGACTAAGAAAACAACAGCACTCCCTAACAAAAGTACACCTGGACTCTGAAAATATTCTCATGTTGTATGAGGAAACTTATTAGTAGTACCTTTCTACTTTTGAAATGTATACAAAAACTACCCAACTTTCACATCCGTTAGAATCTGGGATGCTGATGTTAGGTATTCCTGAAAATACTAGCAGTTACTTCCTTCGAATCCGATTTGAAAAAATCTTATAATCATCACTCATCACTTCTGACTACAATAGTTATTAACAATGTTTTAATACCAATCTAGACAAAATATGAAATAAGAAAATAGTATTGTAGGTATACAAAACATTTGGCATTTTGCAAAAATAATTATTAATAACTATTTTAGAAGTTAAAGGCACTGAGGTGCAAATGCTTTTGTTTTATAACCTTATTATCGAATTCACTTATTGCACTATAATAAGTATAATATATTGAAAATATTACTTTAAACAAAAATTTCTAAACCAAACAATATTTTATATTTTGCTTCAATATTTTTTTAAAAGTAAAATCATACCTAATGAACATGTTACATTTACAAGTAAATTGTAAGCAATTATATTGAAAATCACAGACCTTTTTACTCCAAATATTATATTTTTAATATTATTCAACTTTTAAATATGTATTCTAATAAGTTTGAAATTCATTGTTATTTTTGAATTACTTATTATATTAAATCAATTTTTAATAAAAACAAATCATACATTTAAGTAAAATAATCACAATGTTTATTAAAGAAAATGTAACCAAGCGGATATTCAAACAGTTTTCACGTATAGGGTTTATATTTTATACAATTTGAAACGTTTGAAAATATTTTTTAACAAGTTTAAAAGTTAAAAAATAGGTTTCGCACAACTAAAATAATTACACATCGGTGTACCGAGTATATTCACCTAAATAATAATTAATTGTATAAATTATCGATTGTTATATTATATTATAATAAATTACTAGTATATATTTACGTCATTATAACAGTTCGGGAACTTGAACTGTTCATGTTATTCCTGTACTTGATTGGTGTGCAATAATACGTATGTAACAGTAACCTATTTTACTTACAAACATTTACTTGACGTTGATAATTTCGAGTAATAATAAGTTTGATAATGTTTACAGTGTTTTACATTTGAAGTCAACCAGCACCATATGACATCGAGTAACAGTGGGATATGCCTGTAAGTCTGACATGGTATAATTTGTACATTGATCAAGACTGACAGATTATAAAATGTTTGACAAAGTATTTAAATATTAAAGAATTCAATAAATTGTCTAATAACATTATGAGAACCATAACGTCCTTTTATACCTGGTGCTTGGTTTTACAATTATGTCGTATGTGCAGAGTGATTATTTGAATGGAAAAAACTAAATATGTAGTCGTTTTGAAATTTTAAGTCGGACAATATAATCATAATGGCATGTATTTAAATATTAGAGAATTCAATTGTTTAATAACTACGAGAGCTATACCGTAGTTTTACTTTTGGTGCTTAGAAGAAATACGTCTGATGTATAGTATCATTCGGTGAATAGAGTGATTATTTGAACAGAAAATACTAGCTAATAATTTTGAGATACTTGAAATTTAGACAATTTAACTATAATGGAATTTTAACATTTTACATAGCCGTTATGTGCGTCACGTACATGCTTTTTTGAATGAAACGACTGCAGTATCAACACTTAACATTTATACAGGAATATTGCATTTTAAATTGTATCAAGCCCTTACTTTTATTTAATAACGAATAACTAATGAATATAGAGTGTTTTTTTGCATCAGTAACCACTCGATGTTTTTACGAGCAGAGTAGTGCTCTACAGATTTTACTCATCTTGACTAAAATTTAAAACATTTCCTAACTTAAAAAAATAAATGTAAAACGTTGAATAGAAATTTTAAAATTTAAATTAAACATTGTATTCTAATTAATAGCGCTTGTATTAATTGAAACTGTCTAACAACTTTTTGTTCATACAAACAAATATGAACCAATTAAGTTGCACCACGAATAAAATTTAAAAGAGGAGTCCAAATTGTGAACCTATAAAAGCTGGTGGACATTCGCCTCGCTAGTCACACATACCTTGGCCCAGTGTTGTATTATTATTTTTAACTCGAAAGCAACCATAAATCATGACGTTCGAGAAACGTTTTTGAGCTCAGTTCAGTTTACTAAAGTGTTTATGCCGTATTTCAAATTTTAAGTGTTCATAAAACAAACTGTAGAAAACTATTTTCTGTATGGTTTAAATATATTTGGAGATGACCTTGTATGCGTATCAAAGTTTTCATACTTAGGTATCTAAATGTATATTTACTATCAAAATAACTACCTAATAATAAATTAAATTAAACGTTATTTATCATACTTATCATGTTTGAATTATTAACTCTTACGTTAATCAAATCTACAGCTACTCATATAAAAACCATAATATACACGTGTTTGTTTTGTTGTCATAGACATTTAATACGGTTTGTGTAAATTTAAATTTAAAAAAAAATCCGATTGCAATATTCAATTTCATATTTTAATAATTAATTTCAAATAGATTGTTCACAAGACAATATAAACATTTTTAAATTGATTGAAACTAAACTGCACAACTCAATTGCACATCGCTAATGGCATTTTTGTATATGTTTAATAAATGACATTTTTACAGAACTTCAAAAAGGCCCCCATGTGGCTATTTAGATTTTCGAATTCAGAATCCCAAAGCAATTCATTATTTTGTGTCAAATCAGCGATCACAAAAGAAGTAATCAAAAATACAATTTTTTTTTAAACATTTCAAATCATGTGCCACCTGCGTTGGGTTTTCAATAAAATCTAAATTGATATATGTAATTTATGCATACATATTGATGAATTCATTTTTGTACATTTGAAAGATGTCTAACTTTCCATCGAATTTAATATGAATACCTAACCCTTTTTAGGACGTAGTATGAAGTGCTAAATCAGTTGGACTCGGCATAGACGTACAATTAAATACAAATATTTACCTTGTCGTTCCATTAGTATATACAAACCAATGTGAATAAATTAGAAACAAGATTTTCTTTTAATCCGTTAAGTAATAAGACATTACCTCTCTACCGAATAGCCCGTATATTTACATTTGAAATATATTATTGTTACTAATAACACTTCTTTTAATTTCGTTCAACCACCTGCATTTACGAAATATACACAATTTATCTATAAATTGCTGACATCTGCGAATTACTTTATCAGGAAAAACAGGCTGTTTTATAATCGGATATGACAAGAGTTACATAATTTAACACTAAATTGCATTTAAATCAATAGAAATCTATTCATTTGATAATTAAAACCTACGCAGGTATACAATACTACAACGTAAGATATGACTGCAAAAGATATTCAAAAAATAAAATGTTAATGCACCTAATTAAATAAGAAGCGTTGTACACTTTCTGTACTCACTGTTTAACTCAAATACCTAATTTAAATGTTTTTTATTTCAGGTTTGAGTGAAACCAGTGAATGTTTAAGAACTGTAAGTATAGACCTAGTCTTATAATGTTCAATTTATTTTATATCATAATAAAAATATTACAACTTTACTTCCAATCATTTTTTTATAGATATACAATCTTTCTGTATATAATGGCATATTTATTACATACTTACTATATATTATATTTTAAATACAACACTTGGACGTTCAAAATATTTTTCATTTAGCAGACGACAAATTGTATAATATAAAATATTATATAGCTTACAATATATAATATTAAGTCTAAATACAAAAATTACAAATTATTTTATTATAAATTAAGGGAGTAAAAGTCATAGCCCATAGGTCCTACTTAAAAATGATAAAATATTTACCTAGGGCAAACAAATGTTCGGCATCATTTAAAAGGTATATTTAATTTATGAAATGTTATAGTTGACTTGTTTCATTTTTTAGCCTCCGTTTTATAATTTAAAATACAACCCTCGGTATCCTCGAGGCATCTATGTTGGTTCACATTTTAGTCAATACAAAAGGGTTATGAGACTTAATGAACCACGTTGACTGTCTCCAAAAAAATTAAAATGACACCTTTGTAAAACCAGTAGTCTTCTTTCTCGAATTTAGTTGTGATATTTATAATATCTTTTGATTATAAGCAGACCAATGATAAATGTTCTATTTTTTTTTTAAATTTGATTAAAAACAATTAATAATATTTTTAAGTATAAAGTACACCATTATTGATTTTTATACTCTATATAATTCATGTAGGAGACGTATGTACATACTATAGTGCTGTAATAATATTTCCACACTATTTCTGCAGTTCACTTTCGTAAATTAATTGTGATGTCGATTTTCTACCTAGACCTAACAGTGTCCACGCTAGCCTTTAATTTATTTAGAACCGTCAAACAACGAGTTTTCCACAATTGACCTAATAATAATAATAAAATATAGCCACGGGAAAAACTACGAAATGATTTCCCATTTGACTACTTTCCATGCTGAGACCTACAGAGACGTTTAAAATAATATTATTATATCAAACGACGATATATTTCCAGTCTGAGCACTACTGACGGTATTGTATTGTCTGAATAGTTTAAATCCACACAACTAACAATGTTTAACGCCCACAAATTACACTGAGTTATGATGCAGGTACCTATTTGGTTTCACGGTGTTTACTTACACTTTTACAACTCAATGAGCTCGAGGAAAAGTGATCATGCTGCGGTTCCTTTTTGTTTTCATCTGGGGGGCATTTAAAAGGTGGCATGAAATTCCCATGAGTTAGAATAACGTGCGTTTGAGAGAGAATGGAAGATGAGAGAGTTGACCTCAGAATGATTTATGCATTTAACCTATGCAAAATAGAGCGTAGGTACCCAACACAAACAAAATTGTTCAAATTTAGTTTCTGCCGAGAATAATTTATTTTTTCACCGTAAACTATAGGTTGAAAACAACGTCAATGTTATGCGAAATCGTGCGTTTTACTATTCTGGTACATAATATTATTGTTATTATATTATTACAGTGCTCATAAGTTTTGTAGACAAGTGTAGTTATATATTGATTTACACATTGTTAAGCTTTTAATGTGTGTTACATTGTTACACAGAATTAATGCATTCGGTTTCACCACAGCTCCAATTATTATTACTTTGTAAATATTAAGTTTAAATGTATAATAAACCTGATATTATGTCGGCCACCTGTATTATAATACTATTCACCATTCGGATTTTTGTCAAACGCAAAGCGTACACCATTTATGTTAATATTATAATACACTCTTACTCTCTCATTCAAAAGAAAAACTATGTTTAAACAGATGATAATGTTTAATTTTTCCATAATCTTCATAATAATTAAGTAGGTACTTACTCGAATACAAAAATCAAAACATACATGTCGATAATTTCTCACAATATTTTAAACGTTATTAAAGAACTGTTTTAGAATATACAGTAACCGATTAAATACCTACATAAAATTTTAATGTAATCATTGAATTTATTATTTATGTCTGGAAAACTATCAGTATTGTACAGGTTTTTATTAATTAAAAAAAACTATATCAATTTGAGTACATATTGATTGATTGTGATAAATGTACAAATTCATGTACGTTCAATAAATAATTTTTAGACTAAGGAAAGGTGTTTTAAAATGCACATCAGCGCAGTAGGTACCTACCAATAACTTCCTTTCTCCATTTGAAATCTAAAATTCCTTAAAATATTCGCGATATAAATAATATCGATTATTATTAATGCGCATTAAAATAATTTAACTGAACTTTTGCCGTTTTTTTATGCTAATTTTTGTAATTTCCTTGGACCGTAATAAGAATATTAAAATGTTATCATGCCCGAAAATTATAACCACAGAGCAATTTCCGTAGTTTATGCCTTACAATTGAACCTGAAGATGAACAATGGCTCATCTCAATCAAGATGAGACAAATAATTTTCATTGGAACATTGAACTCCAGACAAAATGGCCTGTTTGACGTGTTCAAGGATAGGTATTCTATTAGAGGAGCATTTCAAATCTTACACCATTTTTGACTTTATACTGATTATGGTATCAAACTTTCGACTGTTATTGGTATTCGTTTGAAGATTATGGTGTACTCGATAGTTGACGGAAAGCCATTCAACAAAAACTGTTCACGATGTGTGCGTTATGTTTGTAATATTAATGGGGCGCAGCTCACGCAGTATAACCACACGTTAAAAGTTATTAAGTTCGAAACATCGTGTGCCCACACTAAACTAGATTTATGTTTTCCCTTTAAGCTTCTTAATGCCCTTATCGATTGTCTTGTTATAATGAATTTTCCGGCACGTCCAAGACAAATACAATTGATTTCTCCGGTTTCTGTTTAGCACACTTAAATTTGACTATTAATGCCTCACTGTTGTTTAATTACTGACCAATAATAATACTATTTACTTTCAAAAAACACCGAACTTCTCTTTATTTCCCACTCATATGTTTGCATAGGTAGTTAAAAATGTCTCAGGTTTTAAGTCATTCGAATCCACGAATATAACTCTCTTTAAGCCATAACTTAACCCGTGTTAGGTACAGTTCTGATTTTCTGAGTGCTTTCTGAGTGCTCTATGAAACATTTTGTTAAAAATAAACTAAAATATTATAAAACATAAAGGTTGCAGCTATCGATATTCTGTATAGAAATATTAATTTTCCATAAAATATTTGAATTTGTATAGAGAAAATAAAGTTTTAAATTAGTTTCTATTAAAAAAAAAATAAACAGAATATTACTATACGTCTTTATAAAAGTCAATTTAGAATAGTTTCTACTATACTCTACTTTAGTAAGTTAAATTCATCGCATGTACCTTTATGCATCTAAATTGTACCTGTATATTCTAAGCGATATATTGGTTGTTCAGTGTTGTTTTATACTGTGTGAGGTGAATGATAACTCATTTGGAACTTATAAGTATTACAAGGCGTTAGGGCAATAATAGTGCGTATAACTTCTAAGAAGTTAGAAGTTCTAAGAAGACCTCCCAAATCGTCGGTTTTCTAAATACGTTTCGTTTTTTTTTCGATAAAACACTATACATTTACCAATAAATACATACTCATATACATATTATACACTTGTATAAACCACACATGGTTGTGACCTAACCATGTGCTAAGATACCTAGTTAGTACTTATAAATTTAAACTTTTTATGTTATTTTAAATGTTGTCCAAAAAATATAATATTTTTAAATACGTGTTTTTATATCAGATTTAGTCGGTTCCTTTAGATTAGATTTTCTTCAGAGGTATAAAAAATATAATTTTTTCAAATAGATTGTATATTTTATTTCCTTACATGACAATAGATTTTATGAATTTTAGAGAGGATTTTCAGCACATACATTCATATATAGTTTTAATTGGATTAAAAACAAATTTCGTTGAAACAAACTTTTACTTCACGCTAAGTCCGTTTTGGCACCATTTTTTTTTTATGTTTATTTTTATCGGAAAAAAAAATTAAAAGAATACCGAACCCAATTGTTTTTTAAATAAAAGAACGGCATCGGAATATAGAGGCTCCAGCAGATAACATTTTACAATGTAAAATAGTAATTAATAAAAATAACCATAAAGTATTACTAACGACATTGACGATTTATAGTTAGTTTTTCGTGTTTGAACCAGCCCGACGACTGTGTGTATAAAAAATAAAAAGTACCTCGAATACGTGTTTTTAGTATAATATACCCATAACGTTCCTCCGTGGTCGTAAAACCCCCCTCGCCAAAAACTTATGCGCTAGATACGGCAACGACTAACGAGCTATATATTATATCTGTGTGGCCGCATATAGCTGCGGCAGTATCGTTAGTAAATTATTAATATAATAACGGCTATAGGACTTCCTCTTTCTGTTACGGAACATCGTCAAAACACACCGTTAATGCACACCACAATGGTTAATTTCATGCGTACGATTTTAATGCTATATGAATAATACACTTTAAACGTATCGCAATAATACCAGCGCACAAGCGAACAACGATCGATAATAAATTATTATAAGCGCCAACAAACTCAACTGTCAAACTGTATGCTAAGGGTGTGCAGAGCACAGCGCAGTAGTTTACGCGACTGCAAAATAATAATAATAATATTATAAATACACAACAACAATGTCTGATCACTGCGTTTTATCCGCGTACGAAATCAATGTGACAATTTTATCCGATCTGGGGGTAAACCACTTCACAGGCCGCGCCGCGCATTATGGTCGCCGTAGTAATAATAATATCGTTATTGAAATAATGACGATAATTATTATAATGCTGTGATGTTGTGCATCGATTTATTGTTATTTTGTACACCTACGTATGCTGCAAAATATAATACTATTGCCGTTATATGCACAGGGTAACGGTTTCACCGAGCACGCTCACCACGACCATATGTTTATCGTCGATTACGATTAACTGCAAGACTTAATAGTTTACAGTAGAAACTGATGGGGGGGG